GTAGATAAACTGACTTGGGAGTTAGATGCTGTGGAAGACAATGTGCAATATCAGAAAAGGATTGGAGCTTATAGCATCCCAACAACAAAGAAAAAGAGAAAGCTAAGCCACCATGTAGATTCTAACTTGTCAGAAAATAGTGATTCCGAAGTTTTAACCCACCAGAGTGCAGGGAATATGTTTTCTTACCAGTATGAAGGTGACAAGATGAAAGTTGATGACTTTGAAATTGTCTCAGAAAAATATGGCAAGTTTAGCCATCAAGAGGCAGATACAAAGACACAACATGTAGTTCTTCACTACAGAGTTTATGAATCGTCATCAGAAGATGAAAGTGTTTCACATGAAAATGTTTTAATACTACCAAAAGCAAAGAACAATTCTTATATAAGTTTAACATCAAAAAGCACTGATGGAGAAAAAGGACAAAATGAAGAAATTGATGTTCCAAATATTTTACCAGAGACTCAACAGAAAACTTATAACAAAGAATTGATTGAAAGAACTTCTGACATTTTAGAATCAGTTTCTACCAAAACAAAATTAAATCAATCAAATTATGACTCTGATAACCAGAATATAAAAAGGATTTCCACAGATACGGTTGATGTCTCCAGTAGTAAAAGTAACTCTAATGATGATGATAAATGTGAGAAGGATTTAGAAGCAGAAGATGATCAAATAACAGTGAAAGAACTTGATACTCTGAGAAATAAATCAGTACCAGAAAAAGTTTATGAACAAGATTCTGGTTACCTTATATTTGGTACGAAAGATCCAGTTGATACAGAGGAAGATGTTCTGGATATGGTGAATACTGATTCATCCAGAATGTTTTATTACCAATCAGCAATTAATCCAATAACAAATGATAACATTGAGTTCATGATACTGGAACCGCAGGGTAAAGAAACCAAAGAGTTACGTGTATTGCAGAAGGATTCAGAAGAAAAAGACAAAAGCAAAGAGGAAAGAGAAGAAAATGAATATAAAGTGAATGAAAGTAAAAGAGAAGATGAAGAAAGAGAAGTTATAGAAGAAGGAAATCAATCTAAAGCAATGATAGATTTCATAGTCCTGCAATCTGAAAAGTGTTTGGAGAAAACGTCTGTTGAAACAAAAGCAAGAAAGGATTATGTGGTAGATGTCGAAGGTCAAATAGAATGTGATGATACAGATTCTGTCTCTTCTGCTAACACTGATGATATCTGTTCAGGAAAGTGCATTATGAAGTTGGCAGGAAAGAAGTCAAAGAGGGAACCAGATGCATTAGGTGTAGTTGAGTTTGGAGACGAGATAGCTCCATCAGCAGTTGAAAATGACAGTGATAGCCACTTGAAAAACCAAACACTACAAGGAAGTGACAACAGTAGTGTATGTGGTGAGGAAGATCAAGAACCCAGTGAAGCTGTTGAAGGGAACAGTAGTGATGATGAGGATGATGTTGAGGCCAGTAGTGATAATGGAAAAAATATTTGTAAAGATGATGAAAATCTTACCAGTGATGAAGATGCCAGTACTGGTGAAGATGTCAATAATGATGATGGCATTAGTGATGAAGATGACAGTACTGGTGAAGATGTCAATAATGATGATGGCATTAGTGATGAAGATGCCAGTACTGGTGAAGATGTCAATAATGATGATGGCATTAGTGATGAAGATGCCAGTACTGGTGAAGATGTCAATAATGATGATGGCATTAGTGATGAAGAGGGCAGTGGCAGTACAGATGGAAGTAGTGATGAAGATGGCAGAAGTGATGAAAATAGTCATAGTGTTAAAGACAGCAGTAGTGATGAAGATGACAGTAGTGATGAAGATGAAAATAGCAGTGATGAAGAAGATATCACTGATGAAAAGACTCGAAACCTGATGTCACCAAGTTCTCTCAATGGCAGAGCTGTATCAGGAAGTAGTTCTAAGAACTTAGATGTCAAAGAACACAAAAAGGTTCTGGATCGCAGGGTTCTTGCTGTAAGCCCTGCAAAGCAGGCATCTTCAAATATCAAACGACTGGAATCAGTGCAGAAGAGGAAGGAAGTGGTCTTAGGACAGAAGAAAGCAATACAGATGGCCTTAGCAGCTGTGGTAAATTCATAAATAATTCCATTGTTTTTCATTGTTACCTGCTATGTTAGTTGAAATATTAGATGCATTAATAACAAGATCAGCAGAGAGTCTGGTTTATTGTGTGGCACCCACATAATATGTTTCATTTGTTCTTTCCCTGGAATGCAACTTAATAAAGTATGAAATGTAGTTGGGTATCCATATTAGTCCGTAAATATAGTAAATGAGGAATCGGTCCGTAGCACTTTTATGATTAACAACAATGTGATTTTATTCTGCAACATTCATCCCAATCGATGAAGCCACATCGATTAGGGGAAATCTCATCATGAATAAAATCATATTGTTGTCATAAAAGTGCTAAAAACGGATTTCTTACTATACAGTAATCATAATGCTTGCATTACATTAAAGAAAAGTATGTAGAAGACAAGATTTGCAGTAAATCCATATGCTGCAATTTGAGGGTTGCAGTTTGTAGAGAGGTTGGTGCTCTAGTGCACTCTAGTGCACTGAAGGATTATTGGAGGCTAACGATGGATTTCCATTAGAGCCTAGCTAATCCTCAAAGTGTTCTTTCAACTGAAACTGTCTCGTTCTGTACTTAGGATAGCAAGACTGGACCAGCCCAGGGAAAACACATCATCTTTGACTCAGATGATGAAGAGGAGCATGATGGTATGAATATTCCCTTCCAAAATAAAACTGATCTATCTAAAATGGTAAGAGTCATAGTCTAAGGTCTGGCATCTTGCCAACTCCGTTTTTATAGTCTGTTTAGTTCCTATAAAATCGTACTGTATTAATATCACATCCTTGTTTGTTTTAAAACTTGCACTCTAGCTTAGGCAAGACTTTTTATAAAACTAATGACAGACAATGAAGCGATTAGCATAGTAGCATAAGTAACTCAGTTGTGTTCACATATTTTATTTTTACTTTATATCTGTTGAAAATGTTAAACATCCAGATTATATACTTTTAAAGAACAGTTATAACTTGCTAAGTAACCAGTACAGCTTTTTAATCGAAAAAAATTTGAGCCTAAAAAACAGGTTTTTTTTGTGTGCTTGCCACCTAAATGCTGTCTGAATTTATTTTTCTCTATGGAAAACTATTCCCTAGTTCCTTGGTTCAGGGCAGCACTAGTGAATTTATATTCCTGCTCTATATTATCTGTGTCTGCATGAATTGATGCTTAAACCCTTAATATATACACTAAAACCTTAATTATTTGTATTCAATTTTCGGACCAACAAGGGACCAATTCTGTTTGCAAGTGACGAGGATAGCTGTGATGATGAGGATGATAACGCTCGTTTCCAAATTAAGCCACAGTTTGAGGGAGAATCAGGAGAAAGAGTAATTCTTTACATCAAATTTTCATTTCTTTTGTAATATAATATATTAAGTATAAAGAACACCATCGCCATCATTTGAAAATATATATTTAAATTTTTTGGAATTACAAATTCTTTCAGCATCCATATTGTATATTTTTGATACCCATCCCCCAAGTGGGTGGAACATTTTGTGTGCATTCATCTCTTGTCTGTGCAGTCCTCATTAGATCTCTATCCCCTTTGTGTACATACATCTTGTGGGTGCGTATTTTGTTTATGTTATCCATTCTTTCTGTGCAGCTTGCTCAGTCGGCTAATCTGGTGGTAGCCACTATGTGCGCTGAACCGTGAGATTTTTTGGTCCCCGGTTTAATTTCCATCGCTGCTCTCTTTGTGTTTCAGCTGGAGGGCTGAAATGCAAGTTTCAAAAACCGCACCGTTTTTCAGATGAGACATTTAAGCGTTGGTCCCGTGTGCAAAATGGCTTATGTGCAAGTTGAAGAATGCAGTACACTCTTTGGAAGAGAGTAGGAGGTTGTCATCCCTTTTATTGCGCAATCACCACCAGAAGGACCCCACTAGAAATAAGTCTTAGGAATTTTGTGGGTTATCCTTTTTATGTGTATTACATCAAAGATACCCAATAAAGTGCACATCCATTCCCTGTGCATTATCCCCGTGTGTAAATTCATTCCCTCGTTGTGCATTTACTCTGTCTGTCTGCACTCGTCTCTTTTGTCCTATAAGCTTAGAATGAAGAAAAAAGATGCATTTGTAACCTTCTATGAGTATATGTTATAATTTCAATTTATATTTCAGTTGCGTAAACTACAGGAGCAGATAGGAGGGGATGATCGATTTACGATGGATAAGTCGTTCCTTGAGGATCAAAGTGGTATGCACACATCACATTCTTTTTCCTACTGGCTGAGAATATTTTCCATTATCAAAAATTAATATTTAATGAAAAAAACCCTTTGTTTATAATTCTAGATGAAGATGACGATGATCCCAGTCATTTGATTCCAAACTCGTTCGCTGATCAAGGTGATGAAGAGGTTGATTTGAAGACAGAGAAGGAGAAATCTCTAAGCATCTTGCAGAGTATTGTTGGAACTAAAGGCATCATTTCTAGACCAAAGGAGATGATTGGGCAGAAATTGGGTTTCAGGTAATCACTTTTGTGAATATTTTACTCAAGTCACTCCATATCTACATTATTTTTTCACCCATGAGGAACCTGGCAGAATTGCGAAGTGGCGCATATTTATGTTACGGCGCTAATATATTCTTTCATTGGTTAGTGGTAGTTGCACATCGTACTACACAGAAGCATGTGACACAGCGTGTAATCGGAAGGTCGGGGGTTCGTGACCAATGCTTGTCACACTACTTGTGGCCTTGGGCAAGACACTTTATCTGCTTTTGCCTCTCTTCACCCAGGAGTGTCAATGGGTACCTGGTAGGAGGTGAATGATTCTGGATGAAATTATTGGTGCTGATCACATGCATAACCACGTTGTGTATGATTGATTCTGTACCCGATGACCTGGAGGATAAGCAGTTGGATACGTGCACTGTATAATACTTTCAAATAAATAAATAAAAAATAAAAATTGTTCAAAGTTTTAACAAATGTGCCATTAGCACCATAAGATAAGTTATATCGTATATATCAACTTTTTTTTTGTTTTTGTTAGGGAACCAGACCGAATTTTATTGTATGTGTATTGTACATGTATATATGACAAATAAATCTATTGAGTGTATAAATAGACCATCAAGTAATCATACATAATGGCTATTCTATTTAATCTATTCATTTCTGAGTAGATATATTTGGTAATTTTGAATACTCTTTTATTAATTGTGTGGGTTGAATACCAAATTTATCTATTTTTTTCTCATTCCAGCATCTTGAAGTTCAGTTATTAATTTTGATCTTTCTAAATATTGTTTTATTGCATATTACATTATATGTAATTTATAATTTCAGGGGAATGATGATACGGTATGATCCATCCAGAGATGACCACACCCAATATGAAGTGCAGAACAAAGAAAAAAGGTAAAACAGATTCTATTATGTGTGCTGTATATAACAATTCCTTAATTAATAAACAAATTATGAAATATATTGCATTGAGATATATTGAATTCAAATAATTTTAGCTTTAATCATTTAACATCTCAACTCATTCTCAACCAATGAGGATAAATTTTTACTGAAGAGATAAAAGTTATAGATGGTCCACTTCATGCATATTTCAAGCTATGAAAATCAAACTTTTTAATCGGCTCGCTTGCGGAAATATGTCCAGAATTTTAGGCAGTCCTATCAACATTTAAAAAACAAGGCCTATATGTTTACTTTGCAAAATTTTTGTTGTTTAATTGCCTTCTTGTGTAGACCCTCCTCCTTGGAAGGAAAATCTGCAAAGAAAAGTAACGAAGCTCCAGAGATAATCGTACCTGAAGTCTCTAAGGAAAAATACTTTGAAGTGAGTGGTGATATTACAAACGCTTTTGGAAATGACAAAAGAAAAATTGACACCGTAGAAAACAAGGATAACAAAGATATAGGTAATTATTAGATATTTATTGGCTGTACTACCTTGAAACTTGGTCAAAAACCACTGTCTGTCTTTGACCCTTAGCAAACTATTTTGTATATATTTGTCTCCCTATTTTGGTAGAAAACAGATACATTCTTGTAAGCATTTTTTTTTTGCGGAAGGTCAGTCTAATAAATTGGTGGTGTTCACTGAACCATGGAGATTCCATCGATTTTGTACTTGATATTGGTTACAATAGCGTAGAGTATTCCGGAAAGAATGTTTATGTTGTCGGCCCATGTCCATTATGACCCCTATGCAAGTTATAGAATCAGTACACTTTTTAGAAAATAGTTGGGGGATCTTCTCCCAATGTGGACACTGCCCAATTTACCACCTGAATGACCCCAACTAGTAATGTCTTTTGTGAATTACCTTTTCAACCAAATGATGTCATTTGGTCGAAAGTGCTATTTTAATTAATAAAATTATTATAGTTACTAATTCAGCATTAATAATTACTAATACACGCACTAATTAGATCTGTTTTTCTAGGCTACAAAGTTTATGCTATAGAGGGCGCTTTTCTTATTCGCACTCTGTGGTGTAACTGTAGCCTAGCAACATTTATGTTGTTTCAGTGGAAATGCAGAGTCGAATATGCGTAAAATCAACATACCTCCATTGCTGGATTTATGGTCTCATGTGATTGGCTCACAACATGCTTGAATGCTTGTGATCTATACACCAAGCATGAAACCCTCCTGGCATGGGGACATTAATATGTGCAAGAATCTAAACACATCAAATTCACAAGACAACTTCCATTCGTTTTATATTGAAGTGAAATATCCTTAACGAAAAGAATCATGTTTAATTCAATGCTTATTTGAGAGAGTTGATTATTATTATTTCATCATTATGGTACCTAATATTTTAATTATTATTACTGATTGTTTTAAATATATTATATTGTGGTGCTTGTCTTTCAGTAGAGAGCTCTCCTGAGAAAGGTTCGACGTTCCGTTTCTTTGGCGACAGCGATGAAGAGGAGGATAATAATAGCACTAAACCAACAGGTGATGAAGGAACTTCTTGTGAAGATTTACAGAGAGGAAATAATTTTGTTTCTGGCGGATCGCAGTTTCAATTCTTTGAAAGTAGTGATGAAGAAATTGACTTTCAAGAAGAGATAAGTAAAGAGACTGTGTAAGTGGTGGATGAAAATGTACATAAATTTAGAATGCTAAATTACATTATGGTATTTATAAATTCAATGTTGATTGGTTGCTTAATACACGCACTAATTAGATCTGTATTTCTGGGGCTAAGTGTTTATTCTATAACAGGGCGCTATACACTTTTGCTCTCTATATCGTAACCACTGCCCAACAGCATTTATGCTGTGTCATCAGAAATTCAGAGTCGAATGTGCGTTATATCAACATACCTCCAAGGTTGGATTCGTGGTCTCATGTGATTGCGTTGCAACTTTTTACGGATGTGCGTGATCATTACATGCAGCATGAGATTCTCCAGTCATGGGGACATCACTTTTTATGAAACTGATTGCTAATTTAATTTACTTTATGCATATGTTTAGTCATAATTTGAAATAGGGAGATTTAAATTATATATTTATTTGTATTTACTAATGAATTTAACGCTGTTTATGGATGTGCGTGATCATTAGATGATGCATGATACTCTCCAGTCGTGGGAACATCACTTTTTTATGGTACTGGTTGCTAATTTAATTTATATTATGCATTTGTTTAGTCATAATTTGAAATCAGAAGATTTCAATTGTAAATTTATTTTTATTTAGTACTAATGAATTAAATGCTGTTTAATCGGTTTAGATTAACTTGGCAGTCATACCTAATGACAAATATTTGCCCTGCCGCAGATGAACAAAAGCTTAGGGATGAAGGCCAAGACCCGTCTCCCTTCCCCCTCCCCTTCTCCAACACAACAGAAAATGCTGGAACTAAAGCCTCAGTGTTAATTGCTTTAGTGTACAAGCACTTAAGCTCTCTCTAATGTGCTATAGCAAATTGTGTCTTGTATTTATGGAAGAAGGATTTTAATTTGTCCTTGAAATTCTTGTTATTGTTCCAAGAATGATATGAAGACAGGATTTTCTAATAATGGGAGACACTTCATTTACCTTGGGCAAAAATAACAAAACTTATCCTTGATATGAAAATCAGCTGAGAAACCATGCGTCAAGCAATGGCATTTAAACACACATTTATCTTTCAATTTTCATAAAATATGCCTTTATCAATCAATTTTTACGGTACGTCATGCATCGTTTTCTACTTTATTTGTTGGGTTCTTGTTTGAAATGTTTTTCTCACAAGATGTTGTTGGTCACAAACAGACAAATATTTCAATGTATTACTTTAAGCCAATCAGAAACAAGATTTCAGGATGTTTTCATTTACAGGCATTGAAGGCTGAATGTGACCAAAATGAATTTTAATGTGTGCAGCACTTTAGGGCCGTATCCAGAATTATAATTTGGTGGTGCAGGGTGTGCACTAATTAATGGACTTTGAGCTAAGCCCCACCCCTTGGATATTGTTGCTAAGGCCCAACTTGCACATATTCCTCACCCTGTTCTGATTGGTCGGTTGTTAACAGGGTCAAGGGAGCAGAGCAAGTAGAATTAAAGCCTAGGTTATTATACGAATTAGAAAATGTTTATATTGAAAGATTCAATTTTGTGCCAGTTTGTTTGTTAAATGTTAGGAATAAATTTGTTCCAAGAATAGCCTAATTTTAACAATTTTGACCTAATTCTCGTTAACAGCAATTAACTGTAAATTACTTTAGTTAATAGCTTATAATCTTAACTTATTTAATCTGTTTCATATAGATAAGGTAGCTTTTGGATCAGGTAAAGTCTGTAACCTGTTGATATGCTGTTTAGAAAGCTTTGTCCAAATTATAAAATTTTTCTTTGATTAAAAATTGTTGTAAGCCCAAATATAGATATGATGTTCCTATATATGGTGATAATGTGATCTCATCATGACCATATTTAGGTATGTCACATGTTTTTTGGTAAATTGTATTCTGTTGATAGAGGGGGTGGGAAATATCCTAAATGACTTATGCACTTAGCTGTGTGTGAGGCTCAATGCTGGACCATGTCCAATTCATTTCATAATTTTTTTAAACCCTAGTTTTACAAGGGCATATTCTGATACCGCCTTCAGGCAAATTTCTTTTTTTATTCTGTCCATTTCTTTTCAATGTGAGTTTGGTTTCTCCGTAAAGTGTCCAAGTAGAGCCAGTTAACATAATTTGAGGTTGAAGATAACATTGAAGATTCTGTTGTTTTGGTGATTAATTATGTATTCAGATTCTTGTCTGTTTACGAAGGACAGAATTAATATGGGTTTTTTTTTTTCAAAATGTTTTTTTTTTTAACCAAACCTTCCCAACTAATAAAGATGATGGTTTATGATAGACAAAATCAGTTTTAAAAACACTTTTTCCCTATTTTTATGTAAATAGCATAGATGCATTTAGTGCAAAATAGCCCACTTAAAAGAGAACTAGCAAAAGGATTTTTTGTTCTAGAGAGTATTTTTGATATATGATAATAGAATCAACCTTAAAATCGTTCTTTGGCTATTTTTTTTGTTATAGGCGATTATATACGATTTTACCATGACGTCACTGGCGAAAAAGTAACAAAAGATCGTGTAAATAGCGCCGCGTAGGGTATCCGCCCCGTACGATCTTTGCGTGCATGCTGTAACAATGACAATTTACAGCCAGTTATTTGACGTTCGTTGAAAGAGAACCTCCTTTGTGTATTGTTAGCCACAAAGTGCTTGACACGTGTCTTGTGTTTTCGCTACTGCGAATACTACATGAGACACAAGATTAAAAGCAAATAATTTCACACATTAATCAGTTAAAGATCATTTCTTTTTACATATCGAAGTTCTTTGAACATTCCCAAGGTTAAATGTTAGCATGGATAGACTGTCTTTGACCTTATATTGAAAAAAATAACTTGCAACGTGAATGGAGATTAGATACATGAGTAAAATGTTTTAAGGATATTTCTGCAGTCTCTATGGATTATTGCATTAACCCCTGTGAATTATTGCATTAATCCCTATGGATTATTGCCTTAATTCCTAAGGATTATTGCCATGAATTCATTTTTTTTTATCTGTTTCACTTTATAATTTGAGAACCATAATTTGCCCAAAGCAACAATTTTATAGCAAAATCATAGTATTATAATAAAGAACATTCTTTTTTCATTCTCTCTAGAGCTTTGCAATGTAATTTGGCTCAAGTTATGAAATAACATGGTGATTAGATTTATACAGAATTTAGCAGGATTTAGAAACATTACTCTTTGTCTAAACACTCTCACTCTATTTCATAAATAATTTGATAGATGTTTTACTCTACCTATAGTAATTGTATAAACATTTTGTTGTGTATTTCAGAGAGGTGAATTCAGAAAACGGAACTGCAGATGCAACACCAAAACAATCTTTTTTCTTCCAAGTAGACGATCAAAGACTCAATGGTAAAAGTGACTGCTGTAGTGTTGCATACATTAATGCTGGATATGATCATAGAGAACGAAAATAAATTTATACAATATGTTATGATGCATAATATATTAAGATTATGATTATAAGAAAATAATAGACAAGATGTAGACACATGACCTTAGGATTATAAGGCAATTTTGTTTATTATTGTTATTAATTGTAGTGTAAACCTTGTTTTATTTTCATATCTGAAGTCAATGTATATTTGTTAATTGTGTTCATTTTTCTAGATGGACCATTGCAGTTTTATAGAAAAGAGAACATCGATAATATTACACAAAAGTGGCAAGAAAACCGTACCAATTTGATGACAGTAAGTTAATAATATCTTGCTTATTATTCATAATTCTAAAAATATAAAATAGAATGAATATCTCCACATTGTGTCTGAATATTGAACAATATACGGATGCCGTTATATGGATGATTCAATTACTTTATTTAGTGCTCAAAGCGCAAGTTCATTATTTTTTGTATTTATAATAATAATACACATTTTTAAAGCGCCTATTAAAGCAAACAAAACTGGCTTGTCACCGGCGTAAATTTGTAATTTATCTCTGTAACTTGAATCCCTAAATCAACCAATGGCTGCTAAGGCGACACTTTTTATACCTTATTTCGCGAACCCACCACCCTCTAATATTGATAATTTAAAATAAAAATAGAATTTTATTTCTGGTCAATTAGCACCTGCCGCCGCGAACGAAAAGCTGGAAATTTCAGAAGAAAAAATCTTCTTATTGCATTATTACGCCTGACACTGCCTTGAAATTTTCAAAAATAAGATGTGTACATTTCTTTCTTGTTTTTATAAATTTAAAGCATTTAAACATCCCATTACTACACTGCTTACATTAAAAAAATATACATTTTATTTTTGTATTATCTTCTGTTGGGATGTTTTTGGCAAAACTATTTGCTAAACAAGAAAACAAAATTTTATTTTTATTTTTTATTCCACCCGCCTCTGATGATCTTTAAAAAAAATAAGGTTGCGAAACAAGGAATAAAAAAGTCTCTTGTTTTACTCTTTTCTATAAAAGATAACAAAATGCATAGTTCAACGAAATTTTTAAATTTTTGTGACCTTGACCTTATTTTTTGTAATATAATCAGCTCTTTGTTAGTCCCATATATACTACTCTGCTAAATTTTATGATGATAAGTTCATTAGTTTTTTGCATAATCATGCTAACATACCGAAAGGCAGCCCAACAGATAGACAGCCTGATAGACAGTGTTGAATTCATAACCTTCTTTGTGGAAGTAATAAAAGATAGAATGAAATACTGTAGTTCTAGTTACTACTGTAAAACTTGACCTAGATTTATCAATATATATTATATTTAAAAATAATAATTCTAATTCCCTTGAAATGATTACATAAAGGCCTAGGCTTGGTTTACCAGTCCTGGTCCTTGACATATTGCCTAGCACGCTGCATTGACTCATCATTACAATGGCTGATGTGCTAAGGGCTCTGACTTAGCTGGCTCCTGTAAAAATCCATAGATTTAACGCTCAATTTCACACTATTATTAAATTTGTATTTTGTTAATTGAGTGTAGGCACATCCAGTTAAATATAATGCCTTTGTTATAATTTTCTATTGGAACATTTACTTTAGGTCATTGAACTCTGAAAGGTGGGTGGGGGGGGGGTTTGTCGAAAACCTAATTACATGATTTAATTGGAATGTTGCTTGCTGTTGATGTTGCGATCGAATGTGTCTAGATTAGTTAAAAATTATACTGATTTTTTTTTTTGACTTTTAAATGTAATTTTGACCTGACCGCACAATATATTCGGATGTTGCATCCGTTTTCGTAAATTGTGTAAATATGTACTGAGAGTTAAAATAGTATAGTATATTTACTTTTTATTTAGATTAATACTATTTTATTAGTAGAATTTGTTTTCAATTTGGCTTCAATATTACATGTTGTGTTGTGAAACTTATTGTTGGAACTGGAAAAACAGTGAGAATAGGCTGAATGTTCTTTAAGGACATTAGTTGGTATCACTATATGAAAGAAATAAATGAGAATATAACATTTATAGATATCAAATAATGTTCTTTTATATATTTCATAATTATTATTACCAGGATATTATGAGTTATTATGAAGTTATTAAAATATTTGGTAGCAGTGACCTAGACGGAAATATTTTCTCCTCATAAGCATGGTTGTTAATTTACGTATTTGCTTAAATGTTTCCACGTAGAAATTCTAAGTATTCCCGGCGGATTCTGTTCCCACAGGGGAATATTATGTGAATTGTTTTTCCTGTTTTTCAATTGTGTACGTCTGTCTTGTAATTACGTTTGCTTTGAGGTATATGAACTCTTGTAGAGAAACTTTCAGACGTAAATGACGTAAACCAAAAAGTATTGATACTCGACTCTTATGGGCTATTGTCGTCAAAGCCTTTGTTTATTACGCTATGGCAATGTTTCTTTTTTTTTGTTTTTTGTTTTATTCAGTATAACATTAAAAGTTCAATTTACAACATCATGAAAGTGGGGAATACAAAGGCAATACAATTTCATTAAAAAGACTTGGAAAAATGAATAACAAGGAAAATGGAAAAAATTATGCCATGGATAACCCATAAAATTATTATTTGCAATGGGATCCATATTAAGCAAAAAAAAATAAATTTCAACAATGGTAAAGTTTATTAAAGAATTTCACATAATTATGTTTTGTGAAAACAACAACAATAATGTAAATGATTTAACTTACCGGTAATAAAGTAGGCCTGAATGTATCTTGTTCAAATTTATCTTTTGCAATTTTTTAACTCAATAATAATAATAATAATAAATATTATTATTATTATTATTATAGTTATTTCTTATAATTTTCTTATTTTATAGTTTTTTTATACAGTAGTTTTATAGTTTTCTTATTTCATAGTTACACAGTAGTTTTTTTATGTGTCTTCATTGTTTTTCAGTATGTAGCTTAAGATCTATAAAAAATGGATGCAATACATTATTGATCAACATACTGAATTAACACACATACATTTGCTGACCAATCAATTTAACAGGACTGAAAGTGTTGTTTGTAGGTTTTATGTTGTTTCAAAGTACAACAATGATATTGAAAATTATAGAAAGGCCTACCGGTTGAATTTAATTTCTTATTAATATTATTAATAAGAAATTGCACAGAATACAAGTACATTGAGGTAAATTTGTCCTAGTTTTGTTTTGCTCTATGAAGAAATAATTTCATATAATGTAAAAAATTGACTTTTTTCATGAATAGATAATGTCTACTAAAATTTTATCAGACTTCTATAATTAAGTGCCACAAAATATTGTTAAATAATTATAAAAAAAATTTATCTAAATGTTTGCATAAAATATAATCAGACACACATAATACAGTTTTCTGAATAATTATTTTGTTATTAAACAGACGAGGTAAAATGTTAGGCAACACTTTCCTTTCGTTGGAATATTGGATAGTTCACAGCAGAGTCTTTAACTCGGTAATTTAAACGTCTAGAAATGTGTCCTTGTGCCGCGACTACCCTGCACATTCGCTCGACATCTCTATTTTTGAAGATTGTTTTTAACAGGTTTTATTATGTACAATTTCCTTCTTGTTTTTTTTGTAATCTTATTTTTATCTATTTTCGGAGACAAACATGTTACTTGATGATTTTAAGTGACAGGTTGGTTGTCACATGACCACAGCCAGCATAAGGAAATTATTTATTAGCTTGTAGAGTCCTTAATCGGGCTTCCTTTGTGGTTTCCCCACCCCTCGTGTATCGTGTATCCCCATTCTTTATCTGTGTTTGTACATTAGACATTATAATTAGTGCGGGTACAATTTCATGCTGTTTTTGAAAGCGTTTGCAAGAGATAGATTGAAAATGAAGCCATTTATGGCAGAAACTGCTTTCATAAAATGAAAGCATATATATATAGTCATTAAGTGATAATTTTTTTGAGTGTCATCGACTACAGTATTTTATATAATTGATGCATAACATTTATAATAAATAGTAACACAATTTATTTAAATTAGTATCATGTACAAACATTATTAATTTGTTATTTGACCAGTCACTGTTACATTCAATTATTTTTGTAATTGACTTGCCTGGATGAAATCATAAGCCAACTTTCCCTTTTTGCGGAACTTACCTTGAAAATATTGCAATTGTCCGACATGTCTGATGTATGTAATATACATCCCTCATGTATCCCTATTTTGAATTTTATTCAATTCACAATTAACAAAATTAACAAGGATAAAATAAACTGTTGGTAGACCTAGGAGGAATAAAAGTTGTCAACGAATTCATTCTCATAGGCAGGCTGCTCACACTTGCAAATATATGATCAACAAAAATATTGAATTGCATTGAATCATAAGTTTATAGAATATCTATTTTGCAGATATTATTAAACACATGAATAAAAAGAAATAAATAGTTAAAATAATAATAATAATAATAATGAAATAATAGGTTGTTTAAATGTAATGCATAGATTGTAGATAATTTTGAACTAATGTTACATAAATATTGAATCATAAGTTTATAGAATATCTATTTTGCAGATACAGTATTATTAAACACATGAATAAAAAGAAATAAATAGTTAAAATAATAATAATATTAATGAAATAATAGGTTGATTAAATGTACTGCATAGATTGTAAATAATTTTGAACTAATGTTACATAAATATTGAGTCATATGTTAACAGAATATCTATTTTGCAGATATTATTAAACACATGAATAAAAAGAAATAAATAGTTAAAATAATAATAATAATAATAATGAAATAATAGGTTAAGTGTACTGCATAGATTGTAGATAATTTTGAATGTTACATAAATAATTACGTATTAAATTTATACATTTTCAGTGGCATAAATGATGAAATGGGTTTTTTACAAACTAACAGTGTAATTTCCCCTATCTTGCTGGATGTGTGTGGCGCAGTGGGTTGGCGTCGGGATTTTATGGAGAAGTCATGGGTTCGAAAGCAGTGCTAACCACATTGCTTGTCTAGTAGGGCAATGCATGTACATTTGCCTCTTCTCACCTTGAGTTTAAATAGGTACCTAATAAGGAAAGTCTTGTAGGCTTTATTCAGTTTTGTACTCAGTATAATAGCTCATTTGTATGTCTCCCTTATTCAGGGGTTTCTTTAAGGTTTAGACGAAGAGGAGAATGAGTAAGAGTTACAGGAGAGTTGTTGAGGGGTCTGGGGTACACAAGTAGCCGGCAAAAAAGCCATAGTAACCGGTCAAAGTCGCCGGCTCTTTATAAAAGC